TATATATATAGGAAGTTAGTGCCTGTGAGTGGAACCGTGCTGAGTGAATAGAGTGGTAAGTCAGACGGGAGGTGAAGAACTACACTTAAGGTGAGCAAAGAAGGACTCCATGAAGGAGACAAAGAAGGAAAAATCATAAAAGTAGGAAGAGAATCAGGACAAAGCGTCAAGAAAATAGAGGCTTAGGAAGTTGTGAGCAGTCAAATATCAAATACAAAGAAAAAAGGTCAAGTAACAGGAATATTTGAAAAGTGGCCATTAGATCATGTAGTAAAGATGTTAGATTTAACCATCTTGAGAACTACTTCAGTGGAGTGGTGGGATAAGGAAGAGAAATAAGATTTTGGAGTGAATCGAAAATGATTGAATGGCAATCATAAATGACTCTGGCTTGACCAAGAAGAGTGTATGTAGCAGTCAAGAAGAAACAAGGTCCTAGGGATTTTTTTTTTCCTTTTAGGATGGGAGATACACAAGCATGTTAGAAGTCGTAGGGGAAATGCCAGTCAAGAGTGAGAGGTTAAGGAGAGAGGGAATAATTGATAGAGATGATAGTAGAAAAACCCAGTTGCCGCTGAGTTGACTCTGACTCATGGTGACCCCCCATGTGTGTCAGAGTAGAACTGTGCTCTATAGGGTTTTCAATAGCTGATTTTTCAAAAGTAGATTGCCAGGCCTTTCTTTCAAGGCAACTCTGTGTGCACTCAAACCTATAACCTTTCAGTTAGCAGTCCAGCATGTTAACCATTTGCACCACCCACAGACTCAAAAGATAGTAGGGTATAAGTTAAAAAGCAAAGGTAGAGGAATACTCACCTTGATCAAGACTCTTCACCTTCTGAGACTGGAGGAGAGGTAGTTAGAATGGGTACAAATATAATTTTGTAGGTGAGAGAAGAGGAAATGTGTCAAATAGAACTGGACTTCTTAACCTTTTTTCACATCATGGCATAGAAAATGATCATATTTGCAGTAAATGGATGAGGTTGTTTGCATCTAGAGGTGATGGATCTGAGAGTCTCTGAGTTTGGATATGTTCAGGTGCAAGAAACAAAATACCTGATTAGCAGTGGTTTAATCAATAAAGACATTTAAATATTTCACTTAGACTTCTAGAATTAGGCAGTCCCAGGTTTGTACCATTGATCGACAATGTCATCAAGAACCTGGGGTCTTACCATCTTTCTCTGCTATCCCATTTGTTGTTTTTTGTCCTTAGGCTTGTTGCCCCGTGCTCAAGCATCACATGCATATCAGTATACAAAGTAGGAAGGAGGGGAATGGATAGCAGCAAAAGAAAGTCTCTCCTTTTATCTAGAAGAAAGGACTTTTCCAAAAACCCTTCCCAACCTTCTCCCCAGCAGATGTTCCATTTTATCAAATTAGCCAGAAGAGGGTGACATGGTCACACATTTAAATGCAAGGAAGTCAGCAAAAGCATCTGGTGCTTCCCCACTTTATAGAGGGAGGCAGGCAAGAAAGGAGGAAGCTGGAGGGCAGGAGAAAATAAAGGCTGTTCAATTAAGGGTCTCAATCCCTTTTCTATTATCTTCTTTATGAAAATCCTTTTAAGTGCTTATAGTCCATTATATCACCTTCAGGTATCTCTTCTGTAAAGTAAGCTAGTTTCAATCCCATATTGCATGAATTTTATTATTCTCATTGCTTGCCTGAAATACTTGGCATTGTCATTATCCTCATCACCATAATCAGGAAAGATTTACTAACACTGCCATTAGCAAACTTACAAAGTAAGTTGAACAGATGTAGTTCTTAGTGATTCCCAATTTTTGAAAATTATTTTTGTCTGTATGTTTGATTTTGATACCATTCTCCTTAAAGTACTGAATGACTTTTTTTTAGGGAGAGTGGGTCACACTTTTGCTTAGAATTCAGTGATCTACTAGCTTGCTAGATTCTTATCCAAATGTTTATCTCCTTCCTATTGCACACACAGGTATAAGCAAGGTCTGGGGGGAATGAGGAATTAAAACCAACCAGCCTATCCTCAGATATTAACATGTTTGAGGACAAATTCCATCCCTCAGAACATATTTCATTTCGTTAATTCAAGAGAAGAAAGATGTAAAACATACAATCAATTGGGTAAAAAAGATGTAAAGCACGTCTTTATTGAAACATTCTAGATTTTAAGTTTCTGTCTACATTGTGGTGTGATAAATTTAGAACCAGGAATCAATCTTCTGATGCTTTCATGTACCAGGGATTCCTGAATAGAAGTGGTTCTTTATTAGAATATGTAGATTAATAATTTTATGTTAAACACATTCTATTATACTTAAAGGAAGTAGCTTAAAAGGAAACCTTACTTTTCAAAACCAATTTTTTATTATATAGGCAGTCTGTGTTAATGCTGTGCTGGAGAAGGTAAAGAGAATTTTCCAAGAAGAAGACTCCATAAGGCAAAACAGAGAGGAGAGCGAAAACCTTAGAAAAGCATTTTCTGAGCCTGTGCTTTCTGAGCCTATGTTTCCTGAAGGTGAAATCACAACAAAACCTTACAGGTCATTGCCGGAGAAGCCAGACAACATTTCAGATCGCCCCAAGCTTCCTGCTCATAAGTTGAGTAATAAGATTCAGGTTTTACATTCTGTGTTTGACCAATCAACTGAAATGAATGAATGAGCAAATCTGAGCGTAAATATCATTGAACAGAGCTTAAGAGTTATCTGATGGCACATTTCATCTGACAAAGCTATGAGTCTAGTTTACATATGCTGAATGTTCTGCTTTTAATAAAAGGGAGGGGACTACTACTAAAATGTCATTTGCTCTAGTGTTTATATGGTAGAAAAAATAAAACGAATCTTGATGTAGAATATACATATGACTATTAAGACATTTTTAATGAACGAGAAAAGTCACCTTTTGGTGGGTTAGACTTCACGCTGTGGTTTATAATATGGGCCCTACTTATAATAAATTTCTTTTTATTAAAGACCTATTTTGAGTGTCTTTCCAATTATTTATCTGGGGTAAACACCTTATCGAAATGTTACATATTCTTTTTCAGAGAAAATAAATGGACATTGATTTTCTATCTGCAGGCTGCATAGTTGGAGTCGCCCTATTTACTACCAATTCTTTTGTAACTTATCTGTGAAATTATGAAGAAAGGACTTGCAATTCATAGATGTCACAAATTTATAAAACAAAATATTATTTGCAAATCTGATTAGAAGATTTCTATATATGAGGACAAGTCATGACATGACATTTAGAGAAACAATTTAAACTTAGGGCCAGAAATAAAATCCATATTAGTCATTGTTGCCATGGGGTCCTTAAAAAAAACGTTTCTGTAAATAATTGGTCCCGCAAACCAGGGCCATGTTTTTTGCCTGTAGGAGGTATGTTGGTTTCTTTCATGCACTTCAAATTCTGGACACATTAGACCTTACTTGTCATTAGAGGGAACCCTGGTGACGCAGTTGTTAAGCGTTTGGCTGCTAACTAAAAGGTTGGCAGTTCGAATCCGCCAGGCAGTGCTTGGAAACCCTATAAAAAAAGGCAGTTCTACTGTGTCCTATAGGGTCCCTATGAGTAGGAATTGACTTGACAGCAATGGGTCGGTCATTAGAGGATTAGCACCTGCTCTAATAGGCTGGGATGCACCCATCCCAGAGATGGTATATCTCCTGTGCCTGCTAAATAACTGCTGCTATAAACAGTAATTATAAAAACCTCAAGCCTGGCTCATTAATAGTCTGAGAAATAGTAGCAAGTGCTGTATGCCTTCGTGCTACCCATACACTGACAGATAAGGAAATGTAATAATTTATAGCACGGGGCTAAGCAGAATCTTTATGATACATAGCTAATTTACTTACTGCTTTTACAATACCCAAGAGAAAGATTCCAGGTAGGCCCCTTAGAATGATTAAGTATCAGGTATGGAACCTTAATTCAACCCACACTAAAATGACTATCATGCTTTGAGACTAGGTTCCAATCTTGACAAACAGCTCTCCTCCAGTGTGTAGTCATAATCTGCTCACCCTAATCCTTCTGGTCCCACTTATCCCCAGCTCCTATTCTATGATGAGATGAATGAGTACTACACGACCAGCACCCACAGTGTTATTGCAAATATTCAACAACTAGTAGGGCCTAGGCACCACGCAACCACAATAGCGCTGGCCATAAATAACTGGCATGGCAGAGCCATGGTGGACCAACTGAACGTCAGCCCTGTCTGTGAACTAGGCAGAAAGGACTCGGAGAAAACAAAACTCTAAATCTCTTCTCTCCATAACATTTATGTGGAACATTTAGTTGTACACACATGCACAAAAGTTCTCTGAAAATAAAAAAAATCTTTATTTGAAAACTTCATATATATACTGAAAGCACTTTGGCCCACTATCCAGGGGCCTTCAGTCTGTGTGTGGCTTCCTTCTAGCCTGTCTGCCTTCACTGGAGAGAAACTGACCAAAGTTTGTTTGGTTTTGATGTCCAGCACATTGAGAAGTTTCTTAAGTTCAGCATACATAGTGATTCCATTTTTGGAGGCAATTTTTAAGATTAAAAAGTATGCTACATATTTGTAAAAATTTTTACAAAATTGTAAAAATTGTACAGTCAAGATCTGGGAATTTCAATGTGTTTAAATTTTACCAAAAAAAAAAAAAAAAAAGAACTAAAAAATAACAATCAAATGGGGCGGTGGGGAAAGCATAAAGGTATAGATGAAATAAGAATGGTGGAATGCTGAAAACTGTTGAAGTTGGGTGATATATACGTGGGAGTTCATTGCATTATTCTGTTTACTTTAAATATATTTAAAATATTCCAGAATAAAGTTGGTTACACCAAATAGGGATTCTTTCCAGATAATTTAAAATCTTTCCTGCTGGATCTTACTTTTTACCTTTTATTCATTTTAGATGCTTCAAATTATTTTCACCCTACTTAAACAGTCTATAAAACTATAACCTTCAGGTTCCAATCCATTTTAGAGGACTTGATAAAATGTACTCTGTAGATCCTGATGATAATCCTTATACTAAGTACAACTGCATTTAAACCTCTTAAGTTTATACGACTTCTAAAGATAGGTAATGTGCCTATGTTAGAAAAAAAATTCATCATCTTTGGTACTGAAGCAAGGTTATTCTAAAAATATTTTTAAAGCATACACAGTTTTTTTCATTGCCATATATTTTTATCATGAACTCTGAATTACTTTGAAGTCTCCAGTGGCATAAAAATCAGAGTCACATTTAAAAGTTTCTTTAGAAAGAGTCACATAAATATTCCCGTTGTCCACTGTCACTGTATGAATCCTTTGCTTTAGTCCTTTGGAACACCACTTGGGTTTTGCTGATGGGTCTTTAGGATTTATAGACTGATACAGTCCTTCTCCTGTTGCCAGAGTAATTTTGTATTTATGCCAGGGGCAAACAATACAAGATCGGCCATCAAAATCCTGAGGAAGAAAATGATTAATAGTCTGATGTTCCAAATGTTCATGATAATACCATATTCAGAACCTATTGCAGAAGAACCAGGTTAAAGAACCTACCAAAAAGCTTCTCTTTTTTTCCCTCCCATTTACAAATTATTCAGCATAAGGCAGAACCTAATCTGAGCACAGTCATCAAGTCCTTTTTGCAGATGATTAGAAACCCAGTGGGTTAGAGCTCTATCAGAAGATGTCTTGCTTGGCAGCTGTACCATGTGACTGTAGCTGCACTATTATCTATAAGATGTTAATGTCACTTCCTTGACAGAAATGGAGAAAAGGCTTTCAGTGCTTCTAAAGGAATTTTCACTAACTGCGGGAAGAATTGTAAGCTTTAGATTTAAATTCAAGGGGGATTACTAAAGGCATGAATGTCTATATTAATTGAAGAACAATTTCTAATCCAAATAAGCCAACTCCCAATTTTGAAGGTTTTTAACTGTCTTAAAAGCTGTGCTTCTCAAATGTTAAACTGCATTTAATCACCTGAATCTTGTTAAAATGAAGACTGTGATTCAGTAGGTTTAGGGTGGGAACCCAGATTCTGCATTTCTAAAAAACTCCCGGGTGACACACCGATGCTGCTGGTCTGCGGACCACACTGTGAGTAGCAAAGACTGAAAGCCCTCATTATGGACTGGAACTGAGGGCAATTTTTCCATGATGGCATCATCACTGGGTGCTTAGGTTTCTCTTCTACACTAGAAGTGCAGGAATGCTGACGGGGTACTCCCATAGAACTGTCAGCAAACATTCACATGAATTTAAACACATGTCTGTTCTTTAACATGAGAAGTGGAGGTGTGGAAACAGGGATCAAGTGGAGAGAGAGTGGAAAGCCGAGTTCAAGCTTGTACTTTACACCAGTCAGAGAGAGAGAGAATCATCAGCTTCATAAAGCAGAAAGCCAAGAAATAAGGCAGCTAGCTTTGTAATGTAAGGTAGTAAGGCAGTTCCCCATTCCTCCTCAGTTAAGCCTTCAAAGTGTGGTTTCATTTATATATGTGTGTGTATGTGTATTTTATATTTACATTTGTGTTACATTATAAAAGTAATATGTACTCATTATAAAAACTTTAAAGTAAATTTAAAAAATGTAGACGTGTATAAAGTAAAAAGTGAACATTATTTTTACAAAAAAGGGGTCTCATTAGACCTAACATTCTACAACTTGCTTTCTTCACTCAAAAATATATTATTACCATCTCTTTGTACCAGCACATATAGGTGTACTTCATTAATTTAATGGCAGGATAGTATTGCATAGCGTGGCTATATCATAATTTATTTAACCAGTTTCCTATTATTAAAACATTTAGGTTGCCTCTAATCTTTTCATTATAATAATGCTGCAGCAAACCTCCCATTCATTCACACACGCACACACACACACACACTTAAGCATTTGTGCAATTATATCTGTAAGATAGATCTCTCAAACGTGCGTGTGTATGAATGTGTGTGTGTATGAACGTGCGTGTGTATGAATGAATGGGAGGTTGTTTGTAAATGGTTTTCTTTACATTGTAGAGCTGTGAATTCCTTGAATACTGGTGATTATATTCAAAGCATTCAAATATAATTCAAACCCAACTATAAATTATTTTTAATGAATAAAATAATAATAATAATAGGAAACATCTGAGTTTGTTGAAAATAGGTTTAAATTTTACATACCTCTATTTCTCCCAAATGTAAAGGTCCCCCTGAATCTGAAAAGGAATTAAATATTACATCGGGTCACTAGAAAATTTGATATTTTGATGGTTTTGTGGTTAGTAAATAAATACAAGGTTTACATATGAAAAATAAAATCTTACGGTAACAGCGAATATCCATAGCATGATATTCTCCTTTGTGGTAGAAAATCACCACTTCTCGATCATGGACAACAGCTGTCATTCTTCCAGATTTTTTAATGTCATCTTCTCTGCCAACACATACAGAAGACTGTTCCTTCTTTTCAGGATTTTGTACAGAGACGTTGGGGTCCATGCTAGTTGAAAACAACAAATGAATTTTGTGAGTAGCCTTCATTAGTTTGGCTATAACTTAATCCACAGAGATAATCATATGTCTGGATTTCTCTAATGTATTTTTCTGTAGCTGTATAAAATATTCATAAATACTGGATATAATCATTCAATATACTGAGTTACAGACTGCCAAAATTAGGAAGTTTCAGAGCTCTTAAGACGTAGAGGCTGAAGTTTCACTATCCTTTTATTATCAAATTCAATGCTAAACTAGAAAAAAAAAAACTCATCGCTGTCGAGTCGATTCCAACTCATAGCGACCCTATAGAACAGAGTAGAACTGCCCCATAGGGTTTCCAAGGAGTGCCTGGTAGATTCAACTGCCAACCTTTTGGGTAGCAGCCGTAGCTCTTAACCACTATGCCACTAGGGTTTCCTCAATGCTAAACAGTATCCAGTTATTATCTACATCATTTTCAGCCTTCAGCAGCAGAAGGTGGGATTCTTTGATAGTAAGTTTGGACCCCATGTAGAGGATTTTCCTGAGGTCTCCCATATGGGGGCATTTAATCTTTTTTATGATAGTTTTTGAATAAAGCCATATACCCTGTCTTGCCAAGAATGTCTATATATTTATTCTTTCTCCACTCCTAATTTTAAATCTATCCCGATATTCCTAATCTCCTTTCATTAGAGACAGGAGTTATTATCCCAAAGTTTCTGAAAGCATTTGTTTTCCTCCCTGTCTTAGGATAGAGATTGTGATGGTTTTGACGATCACTTTCAAAGGGTTAACCAAAAAAAGAGACCTTTTTCTCCTACTTAAGAGCATATTTTGAATCTTTGCATGCAATGAGATAAAAATAACAAGATACAAACAGACCAGTCATAGGGTTTTGCTTTTTATTTCCTAAAAAATTATATTATCAGATATCCCTGCGTGGTTTCTGCCCTATGCTGGAGAATGGGAATATTCAACCATCTGGACAGTGTCCAGCCTCACATATAAAATAAACTCACTCTACAGAGAGCTCACTCTACAGGAGAAAGGTTGCCTGCACATTCAGGTGAGATCATGTGTGCACCTAGACCATTCTGTCGAAGCAGGGCTACTTCAATCCCTTTATTGTTTGACAAAAATTAAAGACTTATGACAGATGGCAGAAAATTAAAGGCTCATAGTGACATCTAATCACAACTTTTATATTTGGGACACTGATGGACAAATTTCTCTTAGTCTATTTAGGGAGTATCATGGTTTGAATTATGTCCCCCCAAAAATGTGTATATCAGTTTGGCTGGGCCATGATTCCTGGTACTGTGTGGTTTTCCTATATGTTGTAAATCCTGCCTCTATGATGTTAATGAGGGAGGATGGGCGGCAGTTGTGTTAGTGAGGCAGGACTCAATCTACAAGATTGGATTGTATCCTGAGGCAATGTCTTGAGATATAAAAGACAGAAGTGAGCAGTGAGACAGGGGGACCTCATACCATCAAGAAAGCAGTGCCGGGAGCAGAGCACGTCCTTTGGACCGGGGTCCCTGCGCCGAGAAACTCCTAGTCTGGGGGAACACTGATGAGAAGGCCGAGAGCAAGAAAGCCTTCCCCTGGAGCTTACACCCTGAATTTGGACTTTCAGCCTACCTTACTGTGAAGAAATAAATTTCTCTTTGTTAAAGCCATCCACTTGTGGTATTTCTGTTGTAGCAGCACTAGATGACTAAGACAGGGAGGCACAGATGTTTGAAGAGGATCTCTGGTGACACAATGGTTCAGCGCTTGGCTGCTAACCGAAAGATCGATGGTTCGAAGCAACCAGGGGCTCTGTGGAAGAAAAGACATGGCAGTCTGCTCCCATAAAGATTATGGAAGAACAGACATGGCAGTCTGCTCCCATAAAGATTACAGCCTCGGAAACTCTATGGGGACGTTCTGCTCTGTCCTATAGGGTCACTATGAGTCGAAGCTGACTTGATGGCATACAACAAAAACAACAGGTATTTGAAGAGAGCAAACAGACAAAATTACCAAGCAAAAGCTATAGAGAATAATCTTCAGCACAGCGGAATTATAAATTAAAAACTTTCAACAATGGATCTCCATATTCTCTTTCTGCAGAGTTCTCCTTCCTCATTAGTTAATCATTCATTTGATAAATATTTTCTGAATATCCACTTACTCCCTGGCGCTTCAAGAGATACGACAGGTAAGGTCTCTGCTCTCACAGAGATTTTAGTTGATAAAATAGATAAGAAAACAAGTACATAAATAATTACATAGTATGTTAAGAGTCATGGAATAAACTGGGTAATAGGAGAAAGAGTAACAGAGAGAGGCCATTTTGCAAAGAGTGGGCTGGGAAGATGACAGTTGAGCTGAAACCCCCCAAAAAATGCAAGTGAACTAGACAGGGTAAGAGCTGGGGGAAAAGAGAATTTTAGGCTGAAGGAACAGCAGATACAAAAACCTGAAGAAAAGGCTTGTTAATCTGAGGAACAGAAAAGAGACTGGAGCATAATGAGCATGGGGAGTGGCAGGAGATGAGGCTGGCAAGGTAGGCAGGAGCCAGGTTGTGCAGTGCTGTGTGTAGATTTTATTCTAAGAGAAATGGAAGGCATTGAGAGGCATAAGGCAGGGAAGTGTGACACAGTTTGTTTTTAAAGGTCACCCTGGCTGTGTGGAGAATGAATTGTACCAGAATAAGAGTGGAAGCATAGAAATCAGAAAGCTATTGCAGTGGCCCATTGGAGACATAATGGTGGTTTGGACTAGGCTGACTCTGTAGGTGGAGAAAAAGTAGCAATAACAACAATAATAACAGCAGTAGCTACATTTATATTGTGCTTACTACATGTCAGGCACTGCTTTAAGACTTTATATTTATTTATTAACTCATTTAATCTTGCAACATAGTACTACAAAGTAGGTACTAATATTAATTTTACCATGAGGACCTGAGGCACAGAAATGTGATTCACTGGAACGAAGGAGCTGCCGAAAAAGACAAAAGGATGGCTCCCAGGTTTTAGGTTTGTGCAGCTAGGTGGATTGTTGTGCCAATGACTGTGATAGGGAAGTCTGAGAAAGGAACAGTATTTTCGCAGGAATGCAAAATAAAGAGCTAGCTACATTTTGCACATGTTGTGTTTGAGGTGCCTAAGAGATTCAAGTGGAGCTACCAAGTCAGCAGTTAGATATCTAAGGCTGGAGTTGAGAGTCACTAGAGAGATAAATTTGGGAGTTTTCCAAGTTAATGGAATTCAGTGGAATAACCTGGAGTGCGAGTATAGATAGAGAAGAGGGTCCAGGACAATTCCTGGAGCAAATCAACATTTAGAGGCCTGAAACAGGCCAAAGAGAGGCAAGACAAGTAGAGTGTTCCAATCTGTTGCTAATCAAGTGACATTAATTCACTGCTTTCTTCTCTATCCCATATTCTCCTGAAATTGCAAATAAGTAGTAATCCACCAAAAAAGGCAGGCAAAGAAGTAATATCCACTCCAATACCAGCTACTTCTGTATATTAAGCAATGAATGATACATGAAGAAAACCTGGGCTTCCTAGGTTTGGTTGTCCCAAAAACTTTGGTGGTTTCATACAGAGCTGGGACTACCCTGTACTTATCTCTTTTTATAACCTCACTTATTCCCTATACCTCTACTCTCCTAGAAATCAAATGCCAGTTAGCGTCCAAGCAAGAGTTTACATCCAGAATATAACCATTACTGATCTCTTTACCCCATCTTTCTAAAGTTCGTCTTCTACCCTGCTCTTTACTATCCTTTTGCCCAAATATAGAAATTAAATGGTGATCTGAGAAATCTGTAAATATCATTCATAGGGACAGGTGCAAGGGTCAACTCTACCTAGGTCTGACTTAGTCCTTGAGTCAAAATAATGATTCATACACACCCCTGTATAACATTTAATAAGCAGTCTTCAAAATTCAATGTTAAGCATACAATCAGCCTTAAAAATGGCATGTGTGTATTTTCAACTCAAAATAACTATTTGGTCATCTTGCCATGCCTCAGTAGTTATTTATTTCCATCACAAGCCTTCTAAAACAAAATGTGACAGCAATTTTTCTTAAAGGTAATTCTTCCAGGTTTTACTTTTTCATTTTTTCAGTTCTAAACATTTTTCATTTCTCAGTGCCGTTTTAATAAAATTACATTATTTTATGGATTTCTTTAATCAGAGTGGGGAACTATAAAAAGGTCCAGATAACTTGAGGTATTCAGCCCCACCTTATGTAAGCCCTGCCGTATGGAAAAGGAAAGGAAGTGAATGAAAGTGATGGCTCATGTCAGTTGTACAGACCTAGCTACTGTTAAACATTAGGAGGTTTGGTATCGAATGCTCAGGATATTAAATTCATATTAAAAAAAATTATTGCCCTCCAGTCAATTTCAACTCATACCAACCCCATATGTTACAGAGTAGAATTGCTTCATAATGTTTTTTTGTCTGTAACCTCTACGCAAGCAGATGGCCAAGACCTTCTTCCGCAGCATGGCTTGTTGGGTTTGAACCACCAACCTTTAAGTTAGTAGTCAAGCACAAACCGTTTGTGCCACCCAGGGACTTTGCTTTTGTTGTTAGGTGCTGTTGAGTCAATTTCGACTTATAGAGACCCCATGTAACAGAGTAGAAGTACCCCACAGGGTTTTCTAAGCTGTAACCTTTACAGGAGTGGATCGCTAGGTCTTTCTCCCATGGAGCTGCTAAATGGGTTAAAACTGCCAACCTTTTGGTTAGCAGCCAAGTACTTAACTGTTGCACCACCAGGGCTCCAGAGACCTGAATTACTTGTCTATAATTTAAGGTATTTAAGAAAATTACAAATCACATGTCAACTTCAAGTAAGTATTCTAATTTTAGGGGAATGAATCTTCACAATCCACATCCTCTTTAAATATAGTAATATTGTCATATTTCATAGGAAGTTATACAGGATGACAATGTACCTTTCCTTAATCAACAAGAACCTGCCATTTTAATTTCACTCAAGTCTTAGGTTATCATTTTATATATAAAAACACACCCAATTTCTTTAAAAGGCACACTTGGACCTTGATGTACCTAGCTTAGAATGGTTACAAACTATGGATCCATTGTGTTCCCAACAAGAGGGAAAATTTGTTACATGGCCATGCCAGTGGCCTTCTGGAGGGAATTTTCCTGATGGCTTCTCTAAATATTTATTTAATCCTGTATGATCGGTTAGAAGTTTTAAAATGTTAGGAGGAAAAGAGCATGGCTCATCTACAAAGTTTATAAAACAGAGAAATTATTATTCAGAAATAAAACTTCTGAGTGCATTAGGAGTGAGCTTTAGAAAAAAGGAATTTATAGGCCACTACTTTGAGAGGGGTGGAACTAATGGTTAAGAGTTTGACTACTAACCAAAAGGTTAGTGGTTCAAAACCACCAAGAGGCACCTCAGAAAGAAAGGCCTGGCGATCTGCTTTCAAGGTTGTATTTTCAAGGTTATGTAATTGGTCACTGCCTTATGGAGCAGCTCCACTCTGCACACATGGGGTCACCATGAGTTGAAATTGACTTGACAGCAACAGTTTGGTTTATTTTGAGAGGGGTGTAGTTTAGAACCATATAGAAGATAGATACCATGTATAAGCCAGGGCTCCAAAACTGAGGTGTAGGTAGACAGGTGTGTGTGGGGGGTGGGGGTGGGGGTGGGAGAGAAAGAGAGAGTGTGTTGAGTTGATAGGAAGAGGCTTTGAATTCAATGTATAAAGGAAAAGATTATGCAAATCAAGCATAGGAAGTTATAGGAATGTCAATTTGTACTCCGAAGTTTGCACTGTTAACTCTTGCTCTAACTAACCTGGTTACTTGGAAAGAAGACCATGGCCATGTTTTTCTGGGTTAGCCATGGCTGATGGGAGGCTGGGATACTGCCTTTCTAAAGTCTTCTGGTTGTACAAAACTGCTCAAGTGGTAGTATTTACCTCCACAATGTTGGACATACAGGCTCTATCTTACTTTGTACCAGCATAGACAGAGGGGCAATATGATAAGAATGTAAACAGACAAGTGAACAGAAAGAGGAGGAAATAGGCTGGAGAAAAAGGAAAGAAATGTGGAATTTGCAACACATATAAATGACGAACCTTAAATATCTAGAATATAAAAATAATTCCTAAAGATCAATACCACCCCCCATCTGTCAGTTTGTTGTACTGTGGTGGCTTGCATATTGCTATGACGTTGGAAGCTATGCCACCAATGTGTCAAATATCAGCAGGGTCACCCATGGTGGACAGGTTTTAACAGAGCTTCCATACTAAGGCAGACTAGGAAGAAAGGCCTGGCGATCTACTTCTAAAAATTAGCCAATGAAAACCTTATGGAACACAGCAGAATATTGTCCAGACGACTTGCTTGCTTTGGGCACATCCTCAGGGGGGATCAATCATTGAAGGAGGTCAGTCACTGAAGGAGGTCATCCACCATGTTTGGTGAAGTAGAGGGCCAGTGAGGGAGACCCTCAGTGAGATGGATTGCCACAACAACCACAACAATGGACTCTAACATGCTGGCAATCATGAGGATGATCCAGAACTGGGCAACATTTCTTTCTGTTGTACATAAGGTCACTGTAAGTCAGTCTACTCAACAGCAGCTATCTACCTATCTATAGATCAATACGAAAATGCCAAATAACTATAGAAAAATGGGCAAAAGACATGACAACAAACAAAAGATGAGGAAATCTGGATAGCCAATAATCACATGTAAAGACGCTTAACTGTATTAGTAGGAAAATGCGAAGTAAAGCCACAAATGGGATACTATTTTCCACCTACTAAACTGGCAAAAAAATTATACCAAGTATTGGCGAGGATGAAGAACAACTGCTAGTGATGACATGTTAGTGCTACCACAGTTTGGCATTACCTAGCAAAGTTGAACATATTCATGACCCAACCATCCCAATTTAGGTATAGTCCATACAGAAGTGTGCACGGGTACACCAGGACACGTGCACAGGAGTGGTTATAACAGCAAAAGACTAGAAACAATTCAAACACCCAAGAGTAGAATGGATAATCTGTATATGTTAGTTCAATGAAATGCTTCATAGCAATGAAAAATGTACAGCCACATCAAGTTGGATTAATTTCAAAAATGGTAACTTTAAATAACAAAAAAAAAAAAGAATTGAGTATGCTTACATTTTTGTCAAGTGCAAAACAGGCAAAACAATACATTCATGAACACATCTATACATATCTATACATTTATATATATACATATATATAAATCTACCAAGAAAAGCAAGGAGGACAAGAAACACAAATATACTTCTCAAAACATTATATTTAATTCTTATGTTTAAAATTACTTTCAATATTTAATTGTATCCTATTTTATATTTATGTAACAAATGACCCAAATCCCAAGAAAAAGAGGACAAAATGACACTTTCTATCCCCAGAGACTGTGCCTGTGCATAGATCATGAATGAACTGAGAATTCTGTACAGTCCACTTCAAAACCTGGCACTAGAGGAAGTAAGAGAATAGTTCTCTTACTTTTATCCCAGGCAAAAACTATAAAAGAAACACTAGTATCAAGCAGGTAACAATAATAAGTGAGATGTGGATTAACATTAAAATTAAGTTCTCCCGATTCTCAAATAGAGTCCTCTCTCAAACTTCAGTCTCTTCAGCCATACAGTCTTTGCCTCCAACCAAGAAAAACTGTAGTGAACTTTCCAAGGGCTGATAAGTCGAGCAGAGAAGGCTGAGGCTAAATGATAAAGGTTTCAGAGAATTATAATTACACCATTGCATTTTGCTTAGGAAAGTATTATCTCATCCTTCATATAATTGTTCCCTCTATGCATCATAAATAGTACTATTTATTCATGATGTCTGGTGACTATTTATAGTTAACACTCATATTATTCCTAATTAAATATTGTGAATATCATGGTCCATTCAGACAATAGTAAGAGAGTCCATGGTATTATTCATCTAAATTACTGTACCTATGATACACTATTCATACTCCCACACATTTCCTCTATTGTGAGTCTACGTTAAAACAGTAGAATCATAGCATAATAAAAGAAAGTGAAAAATTAAATGACTCACCCAGTTTGAGGACTAGATGAAGAAAATACCCTTCTGAGAAACACAGCCGCTTTGTTCCATAATTCTCTTCAAGAATTTCCCCCTTCTTCATAAAGTTAGGTCTCTAACAGTGCTAACTTTATATAAAAAGACAGAGTAGCTAAATGGATTCTCAGTCTCTATTAGATATCTTTCAGACATAGTAAATACATTAGGATGAATTTTAAAAATCTATTTTTACTCAATTACATTTCCATCAGACATTGGCGACAAAGGAGACATGATCAAAGTGGGAGAATTAAAGATACTTACTTGTTACAACTCATGAGCACTGACTAAGGTGCTTCTGCTACATCTGGGGACTTGACCTGCACATTATCAGAATGACTAGTATGGGAGTGCTTTGTCTCATATACTTTGGACAT